CCCCACTGGGGATGTGCCTGAAACCAAGGTACATGCCCTTGACTGGAATCGAACCTGGGACCCTTCAATCCGCAGGCCAACGCTCTATCCACTGAGCCAAACCGGTCAGGGCATTAAAATATATTTTTTTAAAAATGTAGTAATCATGGTGACTTTATCCTTGACAACAAAGTGCACCCTACTTAAAATGGCCAAATTTCAGAGTTGATGGAGGGCTTATAGAAATGGGAGGTAGAATTGCCAGCCCAAAATAATCTTATATTGAGATAACTGTCAGGTTTTAACCAGACAAAAATTGACCTGGTTAGCCTGGACCATAATGTTGCTCACGATCTCTTAGGGCAGTGGTTCTCAACCTTCCTAATGCCGCGACCCTTTAATACAGTTCCTCATATTGTGATGACCCCCAACCATAAAATTATTTTCGTTGCTACTTCATAACTGTAATTTTGCTACTGTTACGAATTGTAATGTAAATATCTGATATGCAGGATGTATTTAGGCGACCCCTATGAAAGGGTCATTCGACCCCCAAAGGGGTCGTGACCCACAGGTTGAGAACTGCTGTCTTAGGGGTAAGCCTTATTTTTGAGACTGCTTCAAAGGAGTGAAGATCTCAAAAAGAGGTACTGAGCACTTAATTGTAGCTTTTCCTCCATAGGGCTCTTTTAATAGTATATTGGGATAGTGGAAATTTGTGAAAAATGTGCATTACATAGTATATATAATACATTATAAAATGCAACATCTTTTATATTGGTTTTGTGTCCTAACTTAGTGAATTCATTTATTAGTTCTAACAGGGTTTGTGTGTGTGTGTGTTTGTAATCTTTAAATTTTATACCTATAAGATCATACTATCTGCAAATATTGATAATTTTACTTCTTCCTAACCAATTTTGATGCCTTTTGTTTGTTTCTTTGTTTTTCTTGTCTAATTGCGCTGCAAAAACTTCCAGTAGTGGGTTGAATAGAAGTAGTAAAAGTAGGTATCCTTGTATTGTTCCTTATCTTAGAGGGAAATCTTTCAGCTTTTTATTGTTGAGCATGTTTGCTATGGGTTTTTCATGTGTGATGTTTATTACCTTGAGGTAGTTTCTTTCTTTTCCTAGTTTATAGCTTATCTTTAACATGAAAGAGTGTTAAATTTTGCCAAGTGTTTTTATTGCATCAACGGAGATGATCATGTTGTTTTTTCCCCTTTATTTGATGGCATATTACACTAATTAATTTTTATATTTTGAGCCATCCTTGCATCGCAGGAATAAATCTAACTTGGTCATAGTGAATAATACTTTTAATATGCTCCTTAACTCTGTTTGCTAGTCTTTCATTGAGGAGTTTTACATGTAGGTTCATAAGGTATATGTGCCTGTTGTTTTTTTATGGTGTCTTTGACTAGCTTTGGTATCACGACCATGTTGGTTTCATAGAATGAGTTCAGAGACTTCCATCCTCTTCAAGTTTAAAAAAAATGTTTGAGAAGGATTGGATTTAGTGGTTTGTTAAATATCGGTAGAATTCACCATCAGGTCCAGGGGGTTTCTTTATTTGGAGATTTTTGATTATTGATTCCATCTCCTTTCTAGTTATACACTGAGTGGCCAGATTATTATGATCACCCCATCTTTTCTAGTTATACACTGAGTGGCCAGATTATTATGACCACCCCATCAGTACTTCATTGACACTTCCAAAAATACTGAATATTGAAAACTTTCTAAGCAAATACTCTCAAGGTTTTATTATTATTATTATTATTTGCATAACTAATTCACTTCATTGTACTGATGGGGTGGTCATAATAATCTGGCTGGTCATAATAGTCTGATCACTCAGTGTAGATCTACTTAGATTTTCTATATCTGTGTGATTTAGTCTTGGTAGGTTTTGTGTTTCCAGGAATTTTTCCATTTTACCTAAGTTACTTAATTTTTTGGCTTAAAATAGCTCATAGTATTCATATAATATTTTTATATCTGTATAATTGATATTAATGTCCCCAGTTTCATTTCTGATTTTAGTAACTTAGGTATTTTTTTTAATAGTCTATCTTGCTATAAAGGTTTATCATTTCAAAGGATCAACTTTTCGTTTCATGTATTTTCTCTATTTTTCTATTGTTTTCCTTTGCTCTAATCTTTATTAATTTCCTCATTATGCTAGCTTTGGGTTTAGTTCTTCTTTCTCTAATTCCTTAAGTTGTGAAGGTGGGCTGTTGATTTCAGATTTTTTGTTTTGTTTTGTTTTGTTAATCCTCACCCGAAGATATTTTTCTTTTTTAATTTTTGTTGTTGTTGTTATTGATTAAGGTATTATATATGTGTCTTTATCGCCCCATTGCCCCCCCCCACCCCCACTCATGCCTTTA